AGAATACTTATAAAGCCTAGAGAGGCTTGTCAAAGAATACTACTCACTACGAGCCACAAGTGGCTGAGTAAAGAATACTAACGTTGATGAGTGAAGTCAACGGGCCAAAAGTTGGTCGAGAATACTCACTAGGAGCCAGAAGTGGCTGATCAAAGAATACTAGTACTACTGAGTGAAGCTGGCAGGCCAGGAGTTGGTCGATAATATTCACTGAGAGCCAGAAGTGACTGAATAAAGAATACTAGAGCTAGTGAGTGAAGCTAGCCAACCAGGAGTGGTTGAGAATACTTGGGACTAGGAGTGGTCGTGACCTTGGTGGTCTATAATACTCACTGCGAGCCTGAAAAGACTGAACAAACAATACTTGTACCTCATTGAATATCTAGTGAAACCCTTCATTTGAAGGAGACTGGACATAGCTCAGTTTGAGCGAACCAGTATAAAAATACTTGCACTATCATTATATTTCAGACGCACTTTTATTTGACTGATTTAATATACTAAAAACTTCGTCTAATGGTTATCGTCTATTAAAACTATCTTTAGACGAAAACCATACTTGTTCAACTGGTTATCCTAAAAGAACGGTTTTCGTTTAAAAAGTAATTTCTCTAAGCAGACGATGAAAGTCCCAGTTGCAAAATGATTTTGTTAAACCAATCCTAGGCAGTTTCTGTTTAGCATTCACTAATACTATTTTATTGGACAAAAGAGGGTTATCTTGCGAAAATGTTTTTAAAATGTCTTTGTTTACACACACACATATTCAACCTCCCTTCTATGTGTTTTTTCGCTAACTTCAAGTTGTTTTTGAAAACTAGAGATCCCACATCGAGAATCTTGAAGTGTTGCTCAAATAAACCACTATTGAAAAACTCTCTTTAAGTATGTATGTCTCTTAAAGTGGGTTTTAAAGTGTGTTGATGTCTCCTTAAAGTCCTTACCTAGTGGTTGAGTAAGGTAGGAAGTCAAGGGCTATAACCCTTAACCAAATACTTGGAAATGTTGCATGGTTCCTTAAGAATAATCAATAGGCAAACTCGACACGTGAAGTGGTTATACATTTCAAGGTCGTGATAAGCCTATACCCAGTTGTATTATTCCTAACAGTGGAATCAGACTTTTCTAGTGTAAGTGACAAAATCCAAGAAACTAGAGGAGGGATTGTCCTCTCATTTTGTTGTGATCAAGACAACGCTTTGGGTACGAAAATGATATAATTTGATAAGGTGGAGTCGCTTAGATTGTTCATGCTGTTAGGAGATCTCCATAGGTAAATGCGTGATAATACATAAATTGAGGTATATGCATATGATGTATTTTATGGTGTGTTCATATGTATTGTTGACATGGTTGGATGAGATATATGTTAGCTTTGGAGTGTTTAACTTTCATATATGTTTTTTTTATGATGTTGTATGGTATAAAAATATTTTTTATACTTACACGTTTTTGAACTCTAGCTTATCCTTATTATTTTTATTGTGGTTTGGATTGCTATAATCATATTTTGTGTGAGAGTAGATCACAGTTAGGCTTGAGGAAATTGCAAGCGAGACCTGATTGACAATTAGATGTTTAACTCTATTTTGATTTATTATTGTGAAGGACTAAATTGATATAAATATTTTTTTACTTAAATATATTTGTAGTCTCTCAAATTTAACATAAATTTGATTTTAGTCTCTCAAATTTAAAACCGGCCTTTTTAGTTCCTATAATTTTAGAAATTCTTGTTTTAATTTTTATACTCAAATTTTATTAGAAAATCTTTTAAATACTATCATATAAAAATTATCTATTAATGTCTATGTTATTAAAAACATCTAATTAAACTCAATTTTTGTATAATTATCTCAATTTGTCATTTTCATATATATTATTAGTGACCTGAAGAACTAAAATAATTTTTTTAAAAATTATAAAAATTAAAAATAATAATTTTAAAATTTAAATACAAAAATAAATTTATTCTAAATTAAAAACTAAAAATACATTTAAGACATTTTTTTTTCACCAAATGGTAAAATAAATATGTTAACTAAATGTATTTTTATTGCACAAGAAAAATATTGTTCCAAAAAACTAAACTTAAACTAATTTGGTATATATAGGTTAGGTTCTCTAACCAAATTTGTACAAGAAAATTATTGTTCTAAAAAAACAAAACTTAAACCAAGTTAGCATGGGTTAGGTTCTCTAATCAAATTTACACAAGTGAAACTCTAATTATAGATGAAAAACAACAACATCAATCACATCTATCTAGCCACGGTAGATAAGTTTTCTCCTTAAAAAAATCAGTTAAATTAAATTAAAAAAAAATGGTGGTAGAAACAGAAATGGTGTAGTGATTTTACGATCATAGTAGGAGCAGCACCGAACTATAATTGATTGCGCAATTGAAAACTCAGCACGCAACAGTTCATTGAAGAGAGAGAGAGTGGGAATTGCGTTTGTGGGAATCGGCGAGGAAAATGCAGGGATGGTTCTCGGCGTCGGGGGAGGAGGAGGCGAAGCCGTCGTCGTCGCTGCTGGCCGATTGGAACTCCTACGCTTCGGCCCAATCCTCTCAGGACAACGCCCTCTCCTTCGATCTCGAATCCGCCGTTAGGTCTGCCAACGACACCGTTTCCGGCACTTTCAGCGTGTAAGCAATTCGATGCTTCTATTTGCCGTTATTTCCAATCAATTCCTCTAAATTAGCTTATTAATTTCAATCCCTCTATATGCGTCATGAATCGTGAATCTCTTCTTCTTACCAATGCCGGAGCTCACTTGTTTCGCCCTCTAAAGTGAGTAACTCGCTTTAGAGGAACGGATCCAGTCAATTGAACTTTTTGTTGTGAGCCTTGACATTACGGGTGATTGTGGAAAAATGTGGCTGTTATTGCATTTGCAGTGAATCAAAAAGCTTTTTTTTTTTTTTTTTTTGTGGTTGCAAATTGCAATTTAAAACCATGCTTGTGGAAAAAGTTTGATTCAAGGGACCAATCTGACTTCCATTTGTGGTTTCTAAGGACTAAGGTAGGGTTTTTCTATTTTTAAGGATGGATCGTGGATGAGTGCAATACCTGTAGCCATAGGTACATCCCGTTGAAATATGAAGATGATGTTAAAATAAATTTAGCATGGATTCTGTTCTCTTTAGTATTATAATTGTTTTTTTTTTTTTTATTTAGTTTTGGATTTGTTGTGCTTGTAGTTATTGTGTTCATGTAAGAATTATTTCAATTCCTTGGTTGGTAATAAAGTGGGGTTTAGAGAAAAATTCATTTTAAATTCATTTGAGCCATGTACACTGTTGAATCCGAGGGAAGTTTGATACAACTAATAATGCTGGGCTGACTGAACCCTCAGTAAGGGATAAGATAACATGTTGCAGTGTGGTTATGCTGCTTAGGTGCAGGTCTACACCAAGATGGAGCCTTGTTATCTTGGAAATTAACTATATGCTTGCAAGGTTTTGGATGAGGGAAGTGCCTGAGGTGTTCATGGCTTGAAAAGTATGCCTTCATGATAGACAAGGGATGGAGCTGTCTTGGGAACCATGTTACCTAGACCAGGTGGACAGAGAGTGGACTAGACACTTGTCTCTTTCACCTATCCCAACTATTGCTTTGGCTCAAAAGTAAAATCTCGCTGCTATTTATCTTATGCGCCATTGAAATATTGAGTCTCCCTAAACCCACCACTATTCCTAATCATTTTTCCACCCATAGTGTATGTCTGTACTGTATCCCTATTGCAATTGTTAAGTGCCTCCCCATGTCTTATAAAGTTACCTATTTTTATATTATAAATTTATAATATGGGTTGGTATGAGTAAGAGAAAAAAGGGGGCTTATGTGAATGAGTAAGGGAAAGATGAAGGCAACTATGAGAGCTTTATTGGTGTTGATCTAGATTATCATTTGCTAGGAAACTGTGTGTACAAGAGATTTAAAATGAAACCTGTGGAAGCAAGCTTGCCAAGTAATCAGTTGATTGGTCTCAACCTACATAGTATGTGTTCCATAACTTCCATATGTATTGTTATAGTCATGGTTTGAATAAGCTAGACCTTACCACCGAACTTCGTAATTATTTCACAAAAACAATTGGTAAACATGCTTTAACAGAAAAAGCTTATTTTTTGTCTTACAATCATACTGGTGAGGCTGTGAGAGGGTTAGAATATTAGTGAGACGCTTGTGAAGGTAATATATGATTATCAAAGATTGGCATTTTTTGATAGTAAAAACTGTCATAGTACATGTAAATAGTGCCTAGATACAATGTTTAGGCTTAAAAGACCATGTAATTATGACAATTAAGGTAATTGTAATTTGTTTAGTTATTCTTTTTAGTTTAATATAATTTAGCTTTGCTGTTTAGCTTTGACACGCTATGTATCTAGAGCTTGCCAGGATGTTGTCCTAATCCATGTATAGCTGGTGGATTAACTGGCTGCCCATTGGTGATTCTTTTTTCTTTTTTTGTTTTCAGGAAATTATGGGTCATTTCTAGTTTCTTCCCCCAACTCCCATTGTTCTGTCTCATTCTGGCATGTTTGTACCCTATTTTCCAGCCACCACCAGTGCTCAACCATTGACATTTGATTCCCCCCACAATGTATAGCCACCCCAACAGCTTTATCTCAACCACATTAGTTGTTTTCCCACTTGACCCACCTCCATTAGGAATGTCATGCACTCCCACAAGTCGCTGACATATTGCAGCATCTCCTCTACAAGCTGTATTTATCTCATTGACCTCTACTTCAATCTGTTGTCCTCTCTTCCATTCAACCTCTCCTTGAATGTGTTCCTTTGAAAGGTGCTATTTGGTTTTTTGTTGCATTGTTTTCTCCACTACCTATTGTGACCTTAGCTGGATCTGCACCATCAGATGGTTCCCAATTCATTCCGAGACTAAGCCCCCTATTCTCAATCTATGTCAGTGTACTCCTCACCACTGACAAGTTGGATGGGAGCAACTGACTCATAGGCTTTGCATATCAAACCTTTGCTTACTGGGTAATATTACATATACCATCTCACCGATAATGCTGACTCTATGGCTATTAACAAGCACTCTACGTGGGTTAAAGTCAATACCCAGATACCCAGATATGCAGCATGCCAAGATTTTTTTACAGTTTACACCGATAACACTTAGTGTCTTATAGGATGCAATAGTTTGTACCTTGAAGTGCATCAAATGTCATTCCCTAGAATGAAATTAGATAACTTGGAAGTTGGAACAAATGCCTTATGTTTTCCTAATATCAGTATAATCATATATATACACGTGCATGATCCCTTTCACTTCTCTCTCATGTCATAAACTTCACTCTGGGATCATATTATTTACAAGGTTGAGTCTACAGTAACTTTTGCTGTCTCTATGTGAATTTATGTATAGAGTGAGCACAATCCAATACAATTGTATATCGGAAAATTGTCTGTTTTCTCTGCCTTATCTGCATATGACTAGGAGGTGGGGTTGGAAGTAGGTTCAGCTAGACTAAGCTTTGTAGGGCCTAAGCCTGGTTTTGGATGGTATAAAATGCAGCAGAAAGAACAGATACCTATTTCAATTTCTTCTAATTTTTTAAATGGATTTTCTACACCAAAATGAAAGAACATGCTGCCCAGAAAGCCTATAATAATTTTATCTGAACTTATGTCCGCAAGTAGTTACACAATTTGTTTCTTCTTGTTTAGGGTTTCTAAAGGTGTGAGAGATCTACCTGGCAACTTCCAGTCTGCCACTAGTAATGTGCCTTCTGGCAAAGCGCTTGTGTATTTTGGTTTGCTTCTGGCAAGTGGAGTCTTCTTTGTTTTCATATCATTTACATTATTCCTGCCTGTCATGGTGGTTATGCCCCAAAAGTTTGCTATATGCTTCACACTTGGGTGTGCGTTTATTATTGGATCATTCTTTGCTCTCAAGGGTCCAAAGAGTCAGCTTACTCACATGTTATCAATGGAGGTAACTTGCTAGAATTTCATTTCCCATTGCTTACACGGTGATAAAAATTTTACTAGTCACTATTTGTTGCTTTAATGAGTTTGTTTGGGCCTTTGGAAACCAAAATAGTTTCTTTGATTTGATTGCACGTGTGTTTTCTTGCTAACTGTTTCTTCCTAATTAATTTTCAGAGGCTCCCTTTCACATTGGGTTTTCTAGGCAGTATGGTTGGTACCATATATGTATCAATGGTGCTTCACAGCTACATTCTCTCAGTGGTATTCTCTGTGGTTCAGGTATCAGTTTTCACGTATCCTTAAAATGCTTCTTTGTAGCATAGCCATTCCCCAATACTCACGTGTTATTTTTTTCATTTAATGTTTGATTTAAGGTATGCTCGAGGCTTTTGACTTTTGAGTATGATCTTTAATTTATTATATCAATGAGGAACAATTCCTTCAATGTAGCAAAACCAATATAAATTTAAGAACTGGTATTTCTACAGTCTTGGTATGGTGTGCTTTGTGTGATAGGTGTGTAATGTGTGTTTAAAATGGTTCCAAACTTCCAGTAGCTGGGCATGTAGAGATAGGTCTTCCTTACAGATTTTTTTATTTTTATATATGCTTCTGTCATCTTGCATTGAAATTTAAAATTTGACTTAATTTGCAGGTTCTCTCGCTTGGCTATTATTCTATATCATACTTTCCTGGGGGATCTGCTGGAATGAAGTTTCTGACTTCTGCTCTTACCTCTTCATTAATGAAATGTTTTGGGCGATGACCTATTGTTTGTTGATAGTTGAGTTGCGTTCAGATATGTGTCTATAGTAGTTGACTTGTAAAATTGCCCCCTAAGATCTATCAGCTGAAGCTTCAAAGTGACCTAAGGATATTACTGACTTGAAGCATTATCTAACATGTTCTTAGGGTTCAACGTTTAATGCCACTTGCTACATCTGATGAAAAAAATTGATTTGCCTCTTCGCCTCATGTTTGTAAAAGAAAATTACCATTGTCTGGTTGATGAAGTTAATTGTTGATACCTTCGTGTTGCCTGACTTCTACAAAGAGAATTTGAAATATTTTTTGTTTGAGAATTTCATTTTTCATGGAAAATCGGTCCCCCTTTCATTTAGCACCTTTTAAACATCATTCTTTTGGCATGGAAGAAGATTAAAATTCTGATATGAATACCCCATCCAAAGACTTGGACTGGTGTAAATTAAGCTACAAGCACCTTAGCATATATTTTTTTTAATATTATTAACTTCAGTGTTATCCATGGTCTTGGATTGCAAGCAATATCTCATTTTATATTTACGGAAAAACCTGATGAGAGAAACTAAACATGGGTTAGAAATTCCTTGCTAATTAACAGATAATTGCCAGAGAAGATGGAGGTAAACAAACACAGTAGGCCTTGTTCTCTAATTCAAGGTCTCTGCAAACTGATGCGGACTGCCACATCGTTTTGTGGACTTGTCTTCTATATTCAACATCTAGCTATGTTGGTGAGAAACGAGAATGAATACTTTTCAGTTTGCAATGATTAACAAAACCGGGAAGAGAGCTAGTTTATAACCAGATGCTGGAAATGAAAGTAAAAGATTATGACCAGTGGGACTATCATATCTTCTCATTTTGTTAATGCTAATCAACTTCAAATACTGTGTAAACCATCATGCCCCTATCTATCAGAGACAAGATGATTTGGTCACTTGATCTTATTGGACTGTGATTCTGGTTTGTTGGCCGGTACCATCAGTGGTTAAAGTGGATTCATCAATGAAATCTCAGATTTGAAAATCATGTCAAAACAATATGTAGAAATCTGCTTGAAATTTCGACCATCAGGCCCCCCCGCCCCGCATTCTTTTTGGTCCCCCCTCTTTTAGACATGGTCGAATTTAATACTATAAAGAGACGTAACCTTTCCCGGGTTTAAAGGACCAAAGTATGTTCCCATGAAACTTTTGACCTGGCTAACAGATGTTAGAAGGGGATTGGTTTTTGCTTCAGGGGATTTTCTTATCACATCATCCACTTGTTTATGAAACAATATTAGTGTAAATTATCGAAGAATACGTATGTCATTGTTCCAATTTAATCTGTGGTGTAGTCTTCAATTTGAATTTTAGATATGCATTCGTGTTAAATATTCGGAGAGAAGTCTTTGTTGTTATAGTGATTCTACCTTGGAGTGATAAGGAGGGTATGGGTTCGAATCTCTCCACTAACAATTAACAATTAACATTTGCCGTTCAAAAAAAAAATAGTGATTCTACCTTGTTTGAACAAGTTTACTTTCAATTAAGGATACATGTTCTCTCTCTATATATATTGGTGTACATTACAAAACGCAGTAATATTAAAGAATGTGCTTGAAGAGCTATTTGTAGTCAATAGTTGAAGGAGTTTTACCTTTTGCGAGTTTGACATAAATGATACATGGTAATGATTTTCACTTCTTTTTGGTTTAGAATGAAAGAAGTAAAGGTCGAAGTAAAAGGAAAAGGAAAGCAACATCATCCTCCTCAAGCCCCAAACCAAAGTACTTTTTTTATTTCCAAAGTCCAATGAAGCAAAAAGACTTGGTATACCATTGTTGACTCGTGGAGTTGATTGGACAAGTTCAACGAAGTGTGGTTCTGGTGAAAAGCAAGGGTTTATAAGCTCTCCTTGGCATCCATTACATCTCTTTTTCATTAATTTATAGCCTTTGGAAAGTGACTAGGGAGCATAAACCCCGAATTTAAGGAAACATTTGGACACAATAATGGGTGAAACTGCGATTTGACTATTTAATACGAAGATTATGTGTGACCAAGAGATGTTTCTATGCGATATAATCTTTTAATAATGGAATTATTGAAAGGCATGGGTCATCTTCATCGAGAGAAAACAAAGTTTGAATTCAGTGGAGCACTTTGAACCGTTTCAAAAATGTGAGTGAAGTTAAGAAGAAAATCAATTGTGTCCAAATTTATGAAATAAAGCCACATGGTGTAAGCATTTGGTGATTATGAGGGCGGCAATATTCTAAATCATTCTCAAACAATTAATTTGCTAATTTCAACGGTCTCAATTAGAGACAAATGACGAAGTTTAAATGCTAACTTTGCATATTATGTAGCAATGTTTTAGCTCATCACAATTTCCCATTATCAATTTGGCTTGTTTTCTACAAAAGTTGAAAACTCAGCTAATAGCCCTTATGGTTTTGGGATACAATCACACGGATTACTAGATACAATTGGGCAAATAATTAGAGAGAAACAAAGATTCCTATTCGTTCTATTCCACAAGGACTTGTCATATTGGTGTTTTTTCATAATTAGCCACTCTAGGTGCCTAACATTTTACTTTTCTTGGCAAAGACAATCATGAGTAAGATAGAATCCTTTATGGAAGATAATTTTATTTAATTTTTAATAGTTAATACATTAACATTTAAACTTAAAATCACTTGTTAAGCTGAAAAAATCTCATGCTGTGTTTGGTGGTGGTGTGTAAATTGGAGCAGTTCCTACTCTCACTCATGGTTTTGGAAAGCTAGGGAGCGTATATAATTGCATTCTGATGTGATATCATTGTGTGAATGAGCAATGTTGTTTTGGATTCATTGATTTGTATTATCGTTGGGTACTCAAAAGTCCACTTGATGTACAACCAATTTCCAATGGGTGATTCAACTGCACGTGTGTCATGCATCAAGGACAAAAGTTATATGATTCCATGCCAAAGGGTCCACCTTCAATTTCAATGTGCAAATCATAAAATCTCTCACCATCTTGCTTTCATGTAATTTCCTGCGATAAGAAAACATAACTCTTCACACATCTATTTAGCAATTTATCATTAGACCGATCATAGACATTCATGTTATAGTTGTAGCTAGTATGCTGTGCGATGCACAGAATATTTCATTTAAAATACATTTTATATCATAATAAATAAGATAAAAATAATAATTATATTTTTTATTAGTTTAAAGTATTTAAGTATTTTTTATATTTATAAATTAATTTTAATTTATAATAAAAAAATGATTATCGAACATTTATAAATGAATGTAATTTTATTACTAATTTACATCTTTAATTTATAAGTTTTAATTAATTTTAGAATGAAATTTGATTACTAATCTATTTTTAATCATAAGAATTTTATAGTAATAGAAAATTTTAATGGGTTGAGGTTAAAATCTGATATACATGAACGATGACATAAGACAATAATCTAATGTGGTTCTATAAATATAGTTATATAAGAAAATTTTATGAAATTTCACATACCATAAACAAAATTATAATCTCAGAAAATAAATTACAAAAATATTAAATGGTGGACGACCTAATTACAATTTTTTTTAATTTAAGGATTTTATTGAAAATTAAAAAAAAAAATTGAGAGGCAAAGTTAATGATATATTAAACCTTATAATTATTATGAACACATATATATACTTTATATTTTATTATAACCTCAATCATTATAATTTTGTATTTTGTACTTGTGAGTGTGCCTCACTCCTTAATAGGGATGGCAAAACGGGTCAGTCCGGCCCGTTTTGGCCAGGCTCGCCATTGGCTTACTAAAAATGAGTCGGCCCGCCAATGTAAAACAGGCCGGGGATGCTGGCCTGCCCCGTCTAAGGACGGGCTGGTAGGTTGGCGGGCCAATCCGCATACAAAAAAAATAATAAAAATAAAAAAAATATATTTTATGTTTAAATAATTTTTTTTTGCTACAAATAAATAAATATAACCATATGAAATTAAAAATGCATACATATTGTACATAATATATGTTCAACAAAAGCAAATTACAAACTTAGAACAAAATCAAATAGAAATTAGTCCACTTACACCAAAATCAAAACCAAATTATAAACTTACAAATTACTTATAATTAAACTAAATTTTTTGATAGTCCACAAAAAAAGTTCAAATACAATTAATTAACTTTGAATTTTTATTTTAAGAATATTAGAAGCTCTCTTAGAAGAAGTTGTCTCTAATTTTTTTCTTAATCATCTTCATCCTCATCTTCTACATCAAAATAAAATAAACATAAAAATAATTAAATTATATATATATATATATATGCAGGCTGGCTGGTTGTGGTGGACCGGCCCGCTATTTGGCCCGGCAGGTTGGCGGACTTGGCGCGGCGAGCTTGACGAGTTGAAATGATGGGTCTGACCCGCAAGCCACGACCCACTTTGTCATCCCTACTCCTTAAAGTAGTTAAAGTTTTGGAAAACAAACCCAATTCATCAGTCAAAGCACTCTGATAATTGAAATAAATAAGCACCATTATTGTTTGTGCAAATAATTCATTTGACGAAATCCAAGAAGTAATGAGTAGAATTACTCAATTTCATATAGACAGCTTGTTATACGTAAGTGAGTGGGGATTTTTACTTATTTCTATAGGAAGATAATGTGAATGAATTCAAATTCTAACTTCTTAACGTACTCCTAGAAGAAAAAAAAAAAAAAAAGATATACTAGGCCAATAATTGTTAACATGCTTACATTCATACCTTCATTCACAAGATTTTGTATCTTACCTTAATTCATATCATTACACCAATTGAATGATTCATATCTGACAAAACACCTAGTATATTTAGTAGCTTTGGTAATTTTAACTTTTTTTTTAATACTTAGAGGACCATAATTTTTAATACTTGGAAGTTACTTATACAATTTGTTTTCTTTGTGTGTGAAAAGCTTCTCATATTATCACATATTTTTATCCTTCTTCTCTCTTATTTACCTATCAATGTCAATGGGTGTACAAGTACAAGGAGTAGTTAGAGATTATGTTGAAGTAATATTGTAGTGTGGGCCATCTTCCACACGCCCAAAATTAGTACTACTACCTATTTGATTAAAGGCTTACCGACACGATCGAAGAACATGAAATTTGAGACTCATAATTGAGTGGAGGTAGTAATGTGTTCATGTGCAAGATTTATGTCCTTCAATTCTTTCATCTTTGTCCACTCCTACTTACCATCAATCTATGCATGTGGGGCAACTCTTAAACTCCCTTTTATCTTTTTATTCTCATTATATATTTTTTTTTATATGAATATCTT